GAAGTATGGCTTTTTTTGGTTAGAAATCTCAAATTTCAGCGTTAGTCTGGCGGGTGTGCGCTGCCCTCACAGACCAAGGGCTCCGTCAAGCATCCTGTAGCTGCGCCCAGCACTAAAAATGCTCCTGAAGGAGACGCTGCCGCCGTCGGTCTGCCCGGAGAAAAGAGCTAGCCTAGTTTTGGGAGAGCACAAAACAAAACACGTTATACGGCAGCGAAATCACTTCTTCAGATTTGTGCCACGCTTGTGGCTGAACCAGGCGCGCGCCTGCAGCTGCCTGTTTTGGCAAGCATCCTGTAGCTGCGCCCAGCACTAAAAATGCTCCTGAAGGAGACGCTGCCGCCGTCGGTCTGCCCGGAGAAAAGAGCTAGCCTAGTTTTGGGAGAGCACAAAACAAAACACGTTATACGGCAGCGAAATCACTTCTTCAGATTTGTGCCACGCTTGTGGCTGAACCAGGCGCGCGCCTGCAGCTGCCTGTTTTGGCCCGTTACCTGCCCTTCCCTCCAGCGCCGTGCCGTTAGGGTCGTTTCCAGCTCGCAGTTGTTGTGGGAAAAATGGCAAATTGGTTGTAGCTAAATATGACTGAAACGAAATACAAGTTCACAAGGAGTTAGGGTGACAGCTAGAGACAACTGCATATGCAGACTAGGGTTGCGTTAAGTCTTTATTTTGGAGATTAAATGGGGAAAAAAAAATCTGAATTCTGTCTGCTTTTTAGATTTTTTTTTCCTGCAATGAACTGAAGAAACATGTTGACATTGTCAAATACCAAGATAAAGCATTAATTGATCTTTTCTATTAAAAGTACTTAAATTCCAGAAGTTTCATAGTTTTCTGCTCAGATGTGTTGGAACGAGGGGAGGTGGAAGACACGTCAAGCACTGAGTTCCTTAAAATCAACTCTTAAATGTCTTCTGTTTTGAGTTTGCTTTCTTCTGTCCTTGATTCTTGCGGCCCGTAGGGTACAGCCTATGGAAAGCTAGGCAGGCGTCTGGAAAGGTCGTTTTGGAGTTACTATTTGTTTAACATTGAACTTGAGTTGGATGCAGAGCCCTCAGATGTTTTGATGGGATGGGGATAAGCTTCAGGAGGAGGAGTAGCCAGTGATTCTGGAGCAGTAATGACTTAAATCACCCCGGGTGCTTGTGAAAAGGACTGCATTTCAAAGTATAAAATAAGATGTCAGATGGGAGTAGATGATACAGAAATATAAAAGGTCAGTGAAACGGTGTTGGTCAACGGTGAAATAGGTGGCACGACCAGCGTGGTGGTGGTCATCAAATTTTTGCGTTTTCTGTCTTCTAAATGAACATAACAGAAATTGAGGATTTCAAGGGACATCATGACTTAATCCTGCCTAGGCTTACTGAGAGCCCTTCTGAAATCTGTGGGTCAGTATGGAGGAAGCAGGAAGCTATTTCTCTGCAAGTTTAACAGGCAGTAATGAAGGTTTATAAGCGGATGCTTGTAGATACAACATTTTTTTTACTCAGTGAATAGTAGGAGGCATAGCAAAATTTGGCATTCCAGTCCTCATAAAAGTGAAGAAAACTTGTTTTGTTCAGTGCATCCGAGAGGGAGTCGATAAAGTGATGTAGAATCTTCTTTGAAATGGCTGCATGGAAAAGTCATATGCAAAACACCTCTTTACAATTACTGTTTGATGATTCATCAGCCTAGTATATTAAGTAGTAATTTTGAATGATAAAGTTTTCAACATTTTCTTTTAGGTGTGGTTTTGCAGGAGAAACAGGACCAAGATGTATTATTCCTAGTGAAATAAAGAAACCCGATGTCCCTAAGGTAAAACTTAACATTTTTTTACAGAACTCTTTTACCTTTACAATGTGTGATACGTTAGAGACAAGTTTTTTTTTTCCATCATCAACTATTTTCCATTATCTCATAGCTCATCCTATTAAAAGATTATAATTAGATACAAATAAGCAGTATGCCAGCCCTGTTACTAATTGGTACTCTGTGGATCATGCCTGCAGCTTGTGTTTGGGGCGTTTATTGAGGAATTTCTTTGTCTAGGCTATGCTCCTTTAAGAGAGGATGGCAGCTTTGGAAATGTAATGTTGAGATAGGTTACCAGTATGAAAAATTGTCATGAATAAATGGACTGTAGTTACAGGGTGAGTTTATGAGGTGCACGGTTAATTACATAGAGCAAATCAGACAAAAGTGAGCATTTCTTTATGTATAATCGTTGTCTAGTCTTCAAACTGACTATGAATATTTTTACTTTCCAGCCTATCAAAATTGTTCAGTATAATATTAATACAGAAGAATTATATTCCTATCTGAAGGAATTTATTCATATGCTGTATTTCAGGTAAGAGGTACTTGGATGTTTGTTATTTAAGCCTTCTGCAGCTCTTTTCTGAGTATTTTGAGGGGTATTGTAAGTGTGACTGGAGACTGTTCTCCAGATGAATAAGAAAGCAGAAACAAGACGGCTGCCTGGCAGCTGCCTGCTGAAGAAATTCAGTGCTGCTGAGATTCAAATTATGTACAAAGAATATGCAGCATCGATTGATCTTTAGAAATGAAAATGTATCTCAATAAGTTGTCTTTTTGAAACTGTGGCATGCACAAAGGAATTGGTAGGGAAAATCATTACCTAAGGAGTTGTACTGATTTGGTGGGGCTGTATACGGGGCTTATGCAAAGCTCATGTTGTACCAGTGGAAAACCTGACCTATGTATGACCATGGTTTGGAAGGAGGGACCTTAACTTGTAGAAACTTGTTCATTTTCACTTGTGTAAAACATCTTTTTATTTCTTTTTTTTTTTTAATACTATTAGTGTATAATGAATTTGAGGTTGGATTTGGTAATTTTCTCTTTTCTTCTGATCTTTATTTTTTCCACAGTAAAAATCAATTTTTGACAGGGAAACAACAAATACTTGATTTCTGTGCCTCAGTTCTTCAGGTGTGTGGAGGGGGTTCTGTCGTGTATCAGCACTTTGTAATTGAAATCGGCACATCTGTATTCTCTTCCTTTCTCTTTTATGGACACAGTGTATGACACTGGACAAGCCATTAAGGGCTAATATGTGTGACTATTTTTGCATTTCTTTATTTTGATTTAGAAATGTATAACATTTAGAACTACAGTCTGCTGGCAGAAAGCTCTATACCTTGTTTTTTTGTAACTCAGTCTCCTAACTCTTTTGGGAAGCATTATCAAGTTGATATGAGAAAAACTTTTTGAGTTCTGTCATGAAAAATGCTATCTAAATGCAAATTATTAAGATTTTTCAGGGGGATGAAATGTTAAAATAATGTAGGTCCCATAATACATGTGTAAACTTACAAATTTTGTTTTATACATCCTGTCTTGTGTAGACATCTACTGGTGAATCCAAGAGACCGTCGTGTTGTGATCATAGAGTCCGTCTTATGCCCTTCACACTTCAGAGACACACTCACAAGAGTCCTTTTCAAGCATTTTGAGGTAGACGTTTTACTTAACTACTGTATGCGCGAAGCGTAGCACTTCTTGACAGTAGAAATTTTACTTAAGATCACTACCAGATGTGGATAAAGAAGTGAAAATAATGCCAGAAGGATAAGAGAGGCATAAAGAAGATGAAGAAAAGGTGATGGGTGTCTGGGGGGATGGGGCTTGGAGAAGAGACAGAAGGCACTTTTCTGTTCCATTCTGACCCTTCATATGTAAGGCCACAAAACAGCAGCTATTAACGACAATCCTAAGGTTTCTGTGACTTGTAGGAAAATATAGCTCACATCATGCTATTCTAGACAGATCCAATTATGTCCATTGAGCACTGCCTGAAGCTAGAATTTATATTTAAACACTTTTTATTGCTGTGTCAGCAAATCTCATGACTTACACCAGAGTCAATATCTTTGCGTAGCACATGATCTAACCTCTGGCTCTACTCATTTAGATAAGAACTTACTTGAAATTTATGGTCTCCTCTGCTTAATGAGTCTTTTTGATAGATTCAGGAAAAGTCTGGAACTGATTCTTGCATAGTTTGAATGGAAAGTGTTTTGGAAGCTGATTCCGTAATTTTTCAGTTCAGATAGAGCAAAGGTTAAGGTTTTTCTATAAAAAGCAGTGAAACTAGTTTCTCCACAGTACTTCTCTGCTGTGCTTCCACAAAGCAGTTTAAAAGCTCATCTTGAACTTCTGCATAATTCTTTGCTACTATGCATAACACATTCTGATGTCTTGAAGTCACTGAGGGATTTGAGTGGTTTTTTTTTTTTTAACCCTTTCCAGAAAAAAATAAAGGTCACAGATAAACACTCCCATGCAAAATCAGTTTCTCTAAAGTGACTTATGACTTGGAGAGTCACATTTTGATAGTGAGGCTTTGTACCTTGTTAAGAAGCCAGTTGAATACTGAATTGAAGCTCGCTTTCACCTGCTAAGACTTCTGTTTGGTGCAAAGAGTAAGAGTGGCATTTTAAAACAAGGTCAATATTATGACTTCTGTCTCTGAGCAAGGTATCGGTAATGTTGCCCTTAAAGGCAGACTTTGATGGCATTGCTCATTTAGTTCACACTTAAAGGTATGATATTCAGCAAAGGAACTGTCACTACCTAGAAAAAATGGTTTATGAAATTCTGTGAGGAGAGGGTAGTTCACACGTAATTATGGTTTGAGTTTTGACATTGCTTTGAGTGGTGTTTTAAATAGCCAGTCGTGATCTTCCCTGAGGTTGTGTATCCTTACAGGGCACACTTTCATGGGTTTTCTGTTACCTTTATTCTCATCTTGACATCTTTACAGTACATTTCAAGTAGCCGTATTTTAGTTTCTTTAACTGCTCTTCAAATGACTCTGACTTAAGGTGAATTCCATAATTAATATTCGCTTTTCTTAGAAGCCTGTTCTAAGGTTCATTATTACTGAAGCACCTGGTATGTATCATGAATTGGTGAGTGTAGGTTATAGTATCTTGTTGTATTTTGTTTATTACTACACTACTTTAAATTCTGATTTAAAAATGGATACTTCGATATACAGTTGTTTGGATTTTGCTTTTAATATGACGTTTTGGGAAAACATCGCTGATTTCGAGGGAGAGTTGTCTGCTCTATCAGTTGTCCTCTTCATTTCCGTATAGGTACCTTCTGTTTTGTTTGCTCCAAGTCATCTAATGTCTCTCCTGACACTTGGGATCAATTCTGCCATGGTGCTAGACTGTGGTTATGCAGAAAGCTTGGTGCTGCCTGTATCCTTTAATAATACAGAAGCAAAAATTTTGACGCTAAGGCCATCGTGACAAGCTGCTATTTTATTGACTTTAAGTGTGATATAAAAGCAATAAGAACAAACCAGCCAATGCAGGTTTTGGCTACGATGTGTCATGATATGGGGAATCTCCTCCTAACTGACTTGCTAAGCTTGTGTTCCCTTAAAACCTGGGAAACGTGCTATGGGCCTCTTAAGTGGTTAGTAACTGTATATACTATAAATTAGTTTTGGAGGAAAGTAGTTATGAAGAGTTTACATTAGCTAATGTGAGGAAAAAGTTGAGGGGAAAAAGCTTTTAGTTCCAGTGACTTTACATTGAAAATCATTATAAAAAAAGGAGAATTTCCTGAGCTTCATGTAGATATACGAGGGAATCCCAATTCTGAGCTGCTGGGGTGCCCTTCCTTTGGGAGGAAAGGCTATCCACAGGTAAGGTTACAGTTACACATCCAAGGTTACTATTGGTTGAGTTGTGAAAGTTAATCTTTGACTATTGACCAAAGACTCCTATTGAACATGCCTTAAATCATAACTGTTGCTGTGACAGTGTAACATTTTTTAAATTAGAGGAGTTTGGCTTTTGCTGATGAGGTAGAAGCTGTGGAAGTAAGATCTACTTCAGTCTATATTTAAAATAATGTAACTGAAGGGAAGAAATCCTATCTCATCAGTACATTGGTAATACAGAGAACGGGCATGAGCTAATAGCTATCTTTAACTACCTTAATTTGCAATGTTTTAGGGAGCTGGAATATCAGCTGTTGGAGCAGTGCACAGTTGATACGGGATTAGCCAAAGGACAAAGCCTTCCATCTGTGATGGGTAAGGTCTTTTTGACGTTGCTTAAGGGCTCAGAACTTGGACTGGGTTAATTCTAGCAATGAATCAAATGAGTTCAGGATTTCTTCAACACCTCTTACATGGCCCTGCTTGCATATTTCCTTTATTTATATTAAATTAAATAAGTATATTATGACAAGCCATTCGTAACAGTACATTTGAAGCCGCTGATGAAAACTCTAGTGATTTTTCAGTCTGTTTGGAGAGAAGACAAACTCTTTATTTCTTTTTTCAGTATTCCTCCTTTCTTAGAAATCTTTAAAAGTTGCTGTCAAAATGAAACTGTAATATTTGGATGTTGAGTGTACTTCATAGTTCTCTTCTTGAATTTTCTTTCTACTTAAGACACGTTTGTTCTAAGTTATTTTTTATTGCAGGTTCAGTTCCAGAAGACATAGTCGAGGATATAAAAGGTAACATTTTCTACTTTAGGAAACCCAAGTTTGTGATATCATGCACTAGAGGAGAGTATGTTAATAGCAAGTGTGCAATACTTTACATTTAGGAATTTATTTTGTCTTCTCTGTTTATCGTATTTTGTACTTACCAGAAGAACTTGCCATGTTCTTTCTTTTTGAAAGCAAACACAAAACCAAGCTGAATTCCTTTCAGCTTTAGCATTGTCAAGGCATAGCTCACAGGGATGATCTGTAGACTAATGCAGTAAGAATGTTAAACTGTCGTATATAACCTGACCTGCTGATCAAAAGATAACTTTGTGTTCCATTTTTTTAGCTACTGATATTTTGTTTGCTGTTTATAAATGTGTACAGTATATGCTCTGCTTGGGACTTAGAATTAGAAGATCTAATTTTTGAAAACTGTTATCACGGATATGTTTTGGTTGCAGATGCAGAGTTAAAGCAATCTTGCATCATTACAGAAGAAAATTTTAAGTTAATTTTGTCTATCAATTTACTAGGAAGGCTCAGTTTGCTTTAAGGTCAATTTCATAGAAATGTAAAGTATGCATAAAAGAAATTTGGTATGTTCATCAGGAAGACAATAAGGCTGCCTTTCAGCTAGAAAAAATAGGGTCTATCTTCCTGCAGAACTTAAAAGAACTCCTTCGTGATGTTTCATGTGCAACAGAGCTAAAAATATATAATCATACAGCACAATATAATGTATATCCCTTGGACCAAATGAAGAAATCCATCAGTCAAGTGCAAAATAACTTAAATTTGGCTGATATGTTGTCAAGAGGAAGTTGCTTCTCCAGTTTCTGGACTCAGACATAGTTTTCTGTTTGGTTCTGGGTCTTGCACAGTCTTTTGTAACCAGCTCTAATATGCTGGTGTTGAAACTATGAATGGCTGTGTGTTGGAGGGTTGTTTCTTTGTGACAGCCGTTTATGAAGAAGATACTCATTATATGCTTATTTATCTGTATCTGACGCAAATACATTTGGCAGCTGGGATGCAAATGAAATTGTGCTCTGTCAGTATTGCGTGGCTAAAAGCCTCCTCTGGAGTTATTAGGCTGAAGGCTTGCGCTAGGAAAAATGTTACATGATTATAGGTTGTTCTAAAGAAGGAGTAATCTCTCATTTGAAGTCGTGGTGCAAGACAGGACTGGTGTGTTTTACAGCAGAATGCTACCCTGCCACCGTGTGGTAACGGAAGGATACGGTGAATAATGACTTTATATGTTATGTAGCTTGTCTGAGAAAGAAATCTTGCCTGTTCTAGCACAGTTTTGATGCTAGCTTTGTTTAAACTCGTGTCCTAGGTAGCATGTGAACTCTGCTAAGGTGCAGAGACAATTTGTTGACGTTCAGTTAACAATGTCTTGCACTAGGAAGGGCCTAAAATATGTGTTCATCTCAAAATTAAAATTATTGTCTGTATTGGTGATGAAAGGATCCAACCAAAGTCTCTCTTCTACCCCTTCCTTTTCTTTTGTAAAGTCCGCACTTGTTTTGTGAGTGATCTCCAGCGCGGACTGAAAATCCAAGCAGCCAAGTTCAACATTGATGGCAGTGCTGAGGTGGGTGAGAATAAAGTTCATCTCAGTCTTTTGAAGTACGTATAGTCTTTTTTGCTTTTAAAATAATGCATGTATGTTTTTGTTTGTAGCGTCCTCCTCCGCCTCCGGATGTGGACTATCCGTTAGATGGAGAAAAGATTCTGCATGTAGTTGGCTCTATCAGGTTAGAAATACCGTGGCCAAGCATTTATCTTTAGGAGAATATATTTTCAACTCTAACAGCATGTTACATGATAGGAGAGCGATAACTTTTCCTAAAATTGGATTGTAGTGAAGTGTTTGTGTTTGATATAGTTTTTATGTCTCTTAACTTAAACTTTTGTACTGGGCCCAGTGCAAGCCTGCAATAAAAGGTGTCCGCTTCCCCAAAGAGCTCGCAGTTGAAGATGAGAGCCAACAGACTGGAAGGAAGGGGGAAGACAGGGAAATACAGGACCTACTAACGTATGATAAATGCGACAGGTTTAGTGGAGCGAGTGGGGCTGTGACTTCTCCCTTTAGCACTAGCTGGTGCATCGTGTGACAGAAGTAGTAGTGATGTTGTGCCAGCAGCAGGAAGCCTGTAGTTGTTTCCAGCCCCGCTAGTAACTCAAAGTATAGCATTGCTTCTCATTAGCACTCATTTTCTGTCTTTTGAACAGAGACTCGGTTGTTGAAATACTGTTTGAACAGGATAATGAAGAGAAATCTGTTGCCACGTTAATCTTAGATTCACTCATTCAGGTATCTTTATGTTATAAATAACTGCTTGAATGCCTGCTCTTATAAATGGCTTGTTGTAGAGTAATACCTCTCTGAGCGTAGGTTACAATTTGCGTGGTTTAGCAATCAGAGCATACCTTGACTCCTAAGGTTTTGCTCCATGATTAATTAATATGGGGTAGCAAGCCACCATATGTCATCCACTCTGGGAAACCTCTGTGACTGTCTTCTTACTCTTTCGCGTACTGCAGTGTCTCTAGGACAGTTACCTGTCCAGAAGAGAAGCAATGCGGTACTCACTCCTCAGCAAAAGTGATAAGCTACCTTAGGTTTATTTTGGGGTGGGAATCTGTACATATAAAAGATCACGGAGTAGCTAATACTTGGTATAGTTGTAGGAATTAGGTATTCAGATTCTTCTTTTTTGAAGATGTTTCGCCTGGAATTAGGCTTGTATATCCTGCAGACTGCTTGTTTACTAAAGATATTATCAAACTGTATGGACTTCTCTATTATACAGGCAGTGTTTTCGATATATTTTGGAAATTTTTCTTGGCATATACAAACACTTCATTTCTTATTATAGTGAGAGAAAAATGGGGTATAAAACCACTCTGAAAGGAAATTTTCATTATGTGGTGGTGTATGTTTATTAATTAAAGCTGATTTCCTGCAGTTTCCCAGTTCTTTTGGCCAGAACAAAGATGGATGTTAAATAGTGTCCAGTTATTTCTGCTGGGCAAGAGGACCGCAGTAGCCTGGATTTTTTTTTTTTTTCCGAAGGGATAGCACAGATCTGCTTGTGAGCAGTGTAACTGACAGAGCTTGTTTCTCTCCTGCCTTTGTGTTTTATAGCTAGATTCTCTGATGCCGAAGACAAGCTGCGGTTGAAAATTTTTCTGCCATTAAGAGTTGTGTAGTATCTCTCTCCCACATAGATTACATGGAGCTAAAAAGAGTCAAGCTCATGTGTTGCACTTTTTTTTGCTCTCTGAGAGCATTGCTTGAGTTTTTACCCCTTTCTTCTGTCACGTGTTCTCCCAGAACTCAGGGGAATTAATGTCACTGACATCTCTGTCCTCTGTTGTCTTGGCTTGTCTCAGCTAAAAGGGTTTACAGGGGCTCACAGACTCAGCATGCTCACCTAAGCCTCAGCTAGGCAGCTCCTTAAGCCTAGTTTTCTTGTGAAGTCTGGGTAAAAATTGATGTAGGTTATATGCTTCCGTTAAGTATGACAAAACAGCAATGTAACTGCATAGGAAGACTATCGGAATTGCTAACAGACTTTTGAATGCTTGTACCTGCAACATCAGTTAAAGGATTTTATTTATTCCCTTTTGCATTAGTGCCCAATAGACACCAGGAAGCAGCTGGCAGAGAATTTGGTAGTTATTGGTGGCACTGCTATGTTACCAGGATTCCTACACAGGCTAATGGCTGAAATCAGATACCTCGTAGAGAAACCAAAATACAAAGAAGCGCTTGCCACTAAGACCTTCAGGATTCACACTCCACCTGCCAAACCCAACTGTGTGGCATGGCTGGGAGGTAAGAATAAAAATAACTGTTAAGCCAAGGTACAAAGTGAAAAGCAAAACCCTCCAAGGGGGATTTGAAATAAATGCATAGCGGTAAAACTTAGGTGAACTATTGAAGTTCAGCTGCATCTCAGCTCTGTGGAATTGTTATGCCCTCATGGAAGAAATTCTGCAGAGTAAAACGCCCTCAGGGACGTCTGGAGGGTGGAATGGCACCACGACCTATCCAATCATCAAACAGGTGAAGTGCGATTTGAGCCAGCAATGTCTGAGATGAGTTGTTGATGCAAGTGCAATACATGGTTACTGCCATATGGTGGCACCAGTAAAATAATTAGTCAGAGCAGAGACCTGCTGCATGTATGAAGATGTGTTTAGGGATGAAAGTTTAATTATTGGCTGAGAAGCTGCTAGCTGTGGACCATGCCGGAGGCTGGTAACTCCATATGCTGTTCCCAAATGTCTGTAGCCAATATTGCTACTCCACAACGGCTTTTGGATGCAGTACTGATGTGTCAGGGAAGGAGTATGGTCAAGAGGAGTTTGGCTTTGCTTACAGCTCTGTTCCAGGGGGTTCTCAGGTTGGCAAGAATTCTTGCTTTTGTAATCTTTCAGTTAATAAGCCGAACCCATCTGGTATGTAGGTGGAATTAAGCTTGACTGTAAAGATAGATTTTGTTTCCATATGTTTTGAAACATAAATATTTATCAAATGTAAGTTTCAAAACCCTGTAAGTCTAGTTCTAGGAGTAGCAAAGAAGGATGGTTTCAATGCCCCGAGGTCCCTGACACTTTTTTTTTTTTTTTTTTTCTGAGGTAGAAATCTGGGTGGTGCCAATTTCTAAAACATAGAAGGAAGCCAAAAGTCAGCCAAACGATGTGTGGTGGTGGTTGTTGTCGTCAATTTTGTGTAAGCGATACTCTATTGCACTTTATTAATAGTATGTGGTGTGTCTCTGTCATGATTTTGTTTGTCTTTCTCACACTAATACTAGCAGTGTTTAGTCAGCTGCTGTTGTCTGGCTCTTCTCACAGCTTGCATAAACTACTTCTTATAGGTATTGTGTGACACCTTTTTTGGGGACAGGAAGTCTCCTTAATCACAAGATGGTAATTGTTTGAAGTGCTTAAAATCAAAATTTCTCGGAAAGGCTTATCATAAGAAGTAGATCACCTTGGCCAGTTTCTTTCTCAGCAGAGACTAGATGAATCTGTTTTCAGATAACCTGCAAGGGGTATAAATTGAAGCAATTTGGCACTAGCCATGCTATGAAAAAAGGAAAGTGGCTAGATCCGGCAGATCATCCTTCCGTTGCTATACTTTTGGGGACAGAGCTGAAAAAGAATAATGGAGATACTCGATATGAAGAATTAGAAAAAGAAATGCAGTGTAACAAACTAATGCAAAGTTATTTGTTTCAATAATGTAGGAGCCATTTTCGGAGCACTTCAGGACATACTTGGGAGCCGCTCTGTGTCCAAAGAGTATTACAGCCAAACAGGCCGCATACCTGACTGGTGCTGTCTCAATAATCCTCCACTGGAAATGATGTTTGATGTCGGAAAAGCACCCCCACCGTTGATGAAGAGGGCTTTTTCTACCGAGAAATAATGCTACACAAGAGTTCCCTTCATCTATTTCAAGTACATATATACATGGTGGAATTTTTTTTTTTGTACTAAGTAGTTTGTGCGTAACACTTAAACATGACCGATGTGGTTGTTTCTTGGGAGCATGGCTGTAGGTAATAACACTGTACTCAGAACTGTCTCCAGTTATAGTTTAGAAACTTAACTCTGGCAAATAAGATGATATTTTGTCCTCCTCTGAGGAAATGATATGTAGTCATGAGCTGTTACCTAATGATTTGTTTGTTATTTATCTGTACAGTAAATTACATTGTTGAGAGAATTTGTTTTAAGATATTTTTATTTTAAATATGGTTAGAAGACTGAAGGACGGTCTACTGCAAGAAACATCTTTGGATGTTTTTCTGCCAAACTCTGCATAAAATGTTTCACCCATGAAATCATTTGGTTCACGTATGAGAACCTGTAGGAAATGGTTTGGAGCTGTTTAGCAAAAAGTACTGGGGCATTATTTTTCCTAGACAGTCCTGCTTTCGGAGAGTTAGGAGAGGACTTTTTTACCTTAACTTGTTGCACGGTGCTGAGCTAACAACTCTCCTAATATTTCTGCTCCAAGAAAGGATTCAACCATTAAATAATTATAAATAGGAGTGCAAGGAGAACTTGACTTTCTTACTGAAATGTCACATTGAGAAGTCACTTCTTTCTCCTCCTTCTCCCCCGTCAAAATACTAAAATTCATTGTCCTGCAGCAGTGTCTATTAAATGAAAATACAAAGCAGAGCTCTGAGAGTTACTGTGCGATAGCTATTGATATGGAGCCCAAAAGCAGTAAAACACTTAATGCTCTAAATAGGAAATCAAGTGAGTATTTTACTCTCGGCTCCTGGGATAAGGAGGCCAGTTCCTTATTTTGCTGATGCAACATAATTTTTTTTCACGCGTCTCCATGGGAGTGCTGAAACAGTTGCAGGCTTGTAGAGTTCAGCACTGCATTTTAATTACTCTTAAAGCTAATAAGTTCACCGTTTAAGAAAAAAGTGTACATTTGGATATTAACACTATAATTAGGAACTATAGGCTATTTAAAAGGCTGTTAGCAATGCTGTGACGTTACATATTGAAGAAGAAGGAACAGTCTGATGGGAAAACATGCATACGCGCTTAAATTCTTCTGCTAGAGCTGCTATTTTGGTTTGTCATGGTTCTTGCTGTCCTTTCATGATGCTGCCTTAAATAACTTTGCGTGCACAGCTGTGGCTGCCAGTGGATACTGAGACGGTGCCAGTGCATCTCAGCAACATCGCTTCTTGGGACAGGCATTTCCACTGGCCTCGGAAGGCCACTAAATTTGCCGCCAGTATGCCGAACATACTGAACAAAGGGGTGACCCTGCTGTTGCCTGGTGGTTACTGAGGTTTAAATCCTGCCCAAGGAGGTGTTACTTAGCTCAAAACTTTGTGGTGCGTGTGCGTGTGTGTGCGTGAGTAAAAAAAATTATTGGGATGGGGTTGGAATCTGATTATGTCACACCTTTTATGGCTGATTTCCCCATGCTGTCTGCTAACTGCCTGCTGTGGTTCCTGAAACACAGTTCTAAAGCATATATTTAAAGAAAGATTCTTGTGGTGAAACTTAACTCTGGCAGCGTGCTGTAGCATTTAAATAAGCTTCTGCTCTCGTTTGTCATTCTCTTTCACAAACGCTGTACCTTCGCATGTGGTGTTAGTTGACAAATGATAGTAGATGCTCCCTTTTATCTTAATGATTTTAAATAAAAAACAGGAATCACTGCTTAAAGTGTTATACTCTGTCGTATGTGAGATGTTGCTGATAACTCACAGTGGCCTGATAGGATTAACCCAGATGATTTCCCTCCAGTGGTGTTGGCAGGTATATTTTTTAATCATCTTCTTCCTAGTATGTTAGCTTCAAATCAGGTGCTTGGCTGTTACACGGAAAGTATGGAAAAATAAACAAACATAGCTGTGAGCAGTTGTTAATGATTTATGGTATTTTATAGTCCCTGGATGAGTTTGCTCTTCTAGCGATCGTATCCGAGTCCTCCAAGCACGCTGGGCCCGGCCAGTGCCGCCTCTTGGCTCTGATGCAGTCCAAACAGTCTCTAGGTTTGCAGATTAAACCTTTTCCATAGATGGTGATTACCACCCACAAGACTTTCCTGCAGCAACCTGAGGCCGCTAATGGTATGGCATGATACAGAAACAGGGTTCTTCAGCATAGACTATGATCTCTCTGTCAGGCTCTAGCCTGGACTTGGAAAAATGGGTTAAACACTAGAGATACCTGTATGCCCGTTGTGTCTGGTATTCAGCATTCTTTTAAGTCTGAGAGTTACTCTGTTCTTGCTTGCCTTTGCTCTCTGTCTCCTTATGTCATTCTTGACCATTGCTGATGCCCCTTGTACAGCCTGTTCCAACTCACTTCAGCTCCACTCCTCTAAGCCTGTGATCCTTTAATGGTCTAGTATCCTTGAGGATGTCAGCGGCGGATTCCTCAAATACCAGCATTCCCCTTATTCCTCTGTGCATTCAGGGCCTTTAGTCGAACTCCACTTTATCATGTTCTCTGTTACCAAACCCTTTTTACCTCCCTTACAGCAAGACCGAGGACTACTGTGTTGCAGGCAAGACTCAAGAGTGTCCCCTCTAGCAGTGCCCTGCTATGTGCTGTGCTGCTCCGCTGCAGTACTGTGCCATAAGCTTCCTCCCAGGGCACCTAAGGCATGGGCAGCAGGCTCAGGAATCCAACTACTCTGGCAAGACAACCATTGAGTGAGGTCTGCCTCTCATTAGAGGACTGAATGAGGGAGAAATTAATGGGCCTAATACTTAGTGCATGATGTTTGAGCAGTCTGGAGCAGCCTGTGGCAGGTGTTTGGGATATCAGCATTCTCCTGAGGGACTTCAGAAAGTACCTATGATTGCAACAGTTCTGCTTTAAAGGAGCACATGAGTAAAAATACAGTTGTAGAGACCAGCCTGCTCCATCCTTGCTCTTAAACTTGTTCCCAGGCTGTGATATGATTACAGACTTTGTGGAAAGGAGCTATTTCATTGCGGGGTGCGTAGAGCCATCCTTAGAACTGGACAGAGAACATTCAGACCCAAGTTCTGTTGCTCATTTTCATTTATAATGTGAATAATTGGGATGCAGCCTCATGACATACATTCTGAAGAACGTACGGGGAAGATCAGAGTCCTACACAGTGTGCGCTTGTGGTGTTAACATGGTTTAATTTTCCTGAACTGCAGCAGGTAGAAGTCAAGGAAATTCACAATATTCTTACTCATTCTCTCGGCTGTGTGAACGTCTTCAGTGGTATTTCTGTACCTGCTGGGCGTGCACATCCCAACAAGTTTCACAAGCCCTGCATGTGCTGCCACCTCATCTTCTCTCTGCCCGCTCTGCTCTTGTAGCATTTCTGCATCACTGCACAAACTGCACAACTAGAAATTTTAAGTCCTACAGCACTGGCAGGTTTAAACCAGAGTCCCATGACCCACTAAGCATAGAAACAGGATTTTTATGTCATTGAAGGGGAAAGGAAAGATTATTCCCTGCTTCTCAGAACTGCTAGTCCTGCACAGCCCTTACAGATCACATCTTAAATGTTTTATCATATAGAGAAGGATTTCGCTTTTTTTTTTTTCCTCAGCATAAATGTGACAATTCCTCCCTCCCTGGCGTGACGTGGATCCTCCGGGCAGACAAATCCAGAGTAGAACTTAAACGTTTTAGCAGGGAAGACAGTAATAGAAATAAACGGCTGGAGTAAATGGAGTTTTTTTTCCCCCTGAAGTTCTCACATCTTGTCTGGATGCTGCTCTGGATGTTTCGCTTCAGCCAAGCGAATAACTAGAGCCAAGTCACGCCGAGAGTAGCGAGGAGGTGACAGGGCCTCCTGCGCGGGAGCTGACCCGGCCCCGAGC